CTAAGGAGTGGCCTCTTCATTGCCTGATCCTTGACAACAAAATAATAAGGGTGAAATTCAATGAACGCATGATTATCAGATGTGAGTCAATGAACAGAGGCAAGATTTTTACTAGCTTTAGGGACATAAAGGGCATTGTTTAGAAGATCTTGTTTAGGGGTACGAACAAAACTTCAACCAATTTAATTGATTCTCATACCTGCGCCATTGGCGGCATGCACCTAGTCGGTGTCGTGGTACTTGTCTCATATGGTGAGTTTCTCCAACCGTTGGTGATGTGGTCGGTAGCCCCGGTATCGATATACCAGTTCGTGTCCACGCCGTAGGAAGTGGTGGCTGCTGAGGCAGACCGGTTCTCTGGCGGTCCGCTGAAGGACGCACCAAACCTCTTGTAGTAGCGTAGGACGGTGTGGCCTTCCTTGCCACACAATTGGTATGTGGGGCGGTCGGCGTTGGGGTGGTGGTGCGGTTGATGACGGCCTCCATTGTCGCAGCCGTTCCCATGACCACGACCACGGCCACGGCCAGCACCGTTGCCGTAGTTGCCGCGACCACCTCCTCCACGGCCACCACGGGTGACCAAGTTTGCCGAAGAGCCAGAACCACCATGCAGCAGATCCATCCGCTGCTCCCAGCTAACAAGCTGGGTGTAGAGTTCGCCCAGGGACAGTGGCTCCACGCGCACTGCCATGGCGGAGACGACGGGGTTGTAGTCGACGTCGGGGCCGATGAGGATGTAGGAAGCAACCTCCTTGTCTTCCAACTTCTTTCCTGCAGCCGCCATGTCATCCGCTAGGGATTTCACGCGGCTGAAGTACTCGGCGATGGTGGATGAGCCTTTCTGAGCGGTGGCGAGGGCCATCCGCTTGTTGATGACGCGACCGCGCGATTGGGAAGTGCACATATCTTTGATGGTCTTCCATATTTCCGCCGTGGAGGTGCAGGTGGAGACCTGAATCATGATCTCCCTGGAGACTGAGGTAAACAGGTAATTAAGTGCCTATTGATCCTTGGCAAACCGAGTTTCATACTCGGGGTTGGGGATCAGGTCCGTCAGTTTGTCGGCACTCTTGGGGATTTCCTTCGCCGGCACTGGAGCATCGGCGTTGATGAAGTGGGCGACCTTTGCGCCTCACAGAGCTGAGGTGACCTGCGCCTTCCACAGGATGTAGTTGTTCTTTCCCAACTTCTTTGTGACGCGACACCCTATGGGGAGTGGAGCACTAGCAGTGGAAGATGACGCCATGAACTAGGTGGAAGAACGTGGCTCTGATTAAAAGTGGGTTTAACGTGATGCCTTCTAAGGCTTACTGTCGGGATCGGTGTTGACTCTAAAGCCGCACATATTCTAACAGTTGGCAAATTCAGAGCTCCATCTATCTATATGATGCTGTTTGGTTTGAGTATTTTTCGGAGTGACCTGATCACACCCTGCGTTACTTTTTGTCTGTTTCACTTGTGTTGCTAATGAGTGGTGACGGGAGCGGATAGCACTCTGATCCCAATAAATCGATTACGCCTGATTTAGGCGCCGTTGTAAAAACCAGTCGGAATTCACTGTTTATGACTGGAATTCACTGCTCACGCTCTCACAAATTCCTCCAGATTCATCCAGATTCCTTTCAGCGAACAGAGCCTTAGGCATTAAACGATCATATGTTTTTTCGCACAGTGAACCAAACAAAAAAACCATAAGTGCTCGCATGGTTTCCGGTCCGAGCGCCATCTATTACCATTGACGTTCAGATCTGGACGCCAACTTTGCTGGAACACACACACCGTGGATGGATCGTTTGGTTCATCGTCGCTGCGCTGTGTCTGTTGTTGGGAAATCACAAAGAAGACGACTCCTTGCAAGTTGCACCAGAACAAATCAAGAGAACAGCTGGCGGAATGTGATGCTGCCGTGCTCAGTGGCGGAACCAGCAATTTTAATGAAGGAGGGCCGGACAAATATGATAGTATTTTTTAGTGTGATAAAATATACATAATTATATGTTTCAATAACTTTTTAAATATTTTTACACTATTTATAACTAAATTCATAATATTTTTAATAAAAATGAGTGAAAATTAATATTTTTTGTGCTATAAATTTAAATATTTATATAGGTATTAAACAAAGTCTACTGTGCTTTGGTTTGGGGGTGGGGGGTCCGCCACCGCCTGTGCTGCCAGTTTCATTATGCAACGTAAAATGCGACATAGTTTCAGCAGCCTGCAGCTACACTACACCGTATGGTATGCCTACATTATTGAGTGAAGAAAACGGTACGGTAGTACTTTACAGACAAATACGACGCGAAGATTCGGGTAAACATAAAGGAAACGCCAAATGTAAATAAGGATCTTAAACTTTGGACGTTATGGCAATCTGGCCCATGTTGTTGCCTCATCACTGTAGGGTCTTGTGGTACAATGCAAATACCATGGGCCGATGTATGTTCATGGCAAGGGGTGTGATGATTATGTTCAATTTTCCACCATATACGCACCCTTATCGTAAAAATCTATGCACCTACAAGACTAGCACACCCCCTTAAATTTTTTCCAGCTCCGCCACTGGCAAATACTACTTCAGCTGCTTGTGGTCCATGTGGAAACTCCATATGACGATAACGATGACTGCCAGATTAAAGGAGGAATGGATCATTGAAACTTCAGGCAGACATGGGCACTGAAGGCTGTGCTGTTGCCTCTTCGTAGTGGCATGAACTTTGGATCAAAACTAATGCCCCACTACGTCATCATTTCCTGACTGGCGTTGACTCAAATCTAGCCCCCCGGTCAAAGGATTAGCATGTCCAGATCAGAGGACCGCTGAACTCAAGGATCAATTTTGTAGCGAAGTCTGGGAAAGCGCATGGACAAAATCCCTAACCGGTTTAGCCGGTTTCGGTAGATTCACCGTGAAACCTACGAATGCGTCCAAGAGGAACTCTGTGGGGACAAGCTCACACTGGTGTAGTGTGCTCTAGACTCTGCAGGCCAGCTAGGACGCCCTCTCACACTATGGAGACGAGAGAAAAACATGTGAGGTTGGAAAAGTAAGGTAGAAGAAGATAAAAAGATATATTTAATAAAGCTAGAACATTTATTGTGAAACTGGAATAATTTTATTATGAAGATAGAAGAATATGTTTTATAGAACAAACCACAGGTATTTTGAGAATATTTTCTCATTTAAATGAACATTTTTCTTGAGCATTTGGAACCTAAAACATGCTTTTATTTGCAGATTATTTTAAAAAGTCAAATATGTAGGTTGAAATAGCTAAGTTAAATAAAAATTATGATACATCAAGTTTTTTCTCGATTTATTCCATAAATTATTGACATCATTCTTTTCAATGGTAGAAAACATGTTTATTGACATCATTCTTTTCAATGGTAGAAAAAATGTTCAAATGTCATATGTGTTAACTTCGTCAATCTCAAGATCTACCAACTTAGTTTTTTTAGGTGCTCATGGAAACTTGGATAGAGGGTATACGTGCGTGTGTTCATAAAATAAAGGTGATTTTATACACATGTGTGAACGTTGTGATTTGCCAAAAAAAATGTTAGAAGAAATCTTCCATTTTAAATTGTGAGACGTTTTGGTTTTTCTGGATATATTGTTTTATCATGTATCTCGAGATACTGTAAATATAATGCATAATAAAATTTATGTATTTAGGAAAGCTCAAACGATCTTATAATATGAAATGGAGGAGTATATAAAAATATATAAAACTACTCCAGCTACAAAGAAAATTGGTTGATTCTTTCCCACGAGCTGGGCTGCTCCATTGCTTCCTGCTGGGCCTATATGGGCTGGCCGATCTCCTGCTGTCTGCTGGAGCCGCCAACCGACATACTAGATCTCATCGTTCCCGTCCCCCTCCCCCTCCCCTCCCCTCCCCCTCGCTCTCTCGTAGCTTCTTTCCTGCGGCGACGGCTGGGCGAGCAGACGCCCTCTTCGTCGGGCCATTCAACGGCGACGAGCATCCACCTGGTATGCCCTCCCCTTTCCTTCTCTTCCCTTGCTGCAGTGCGAAACCGTGCACCTCAAACCCTAACGTAAGCAATTTGTTTTAGGCGGATCCGGATCTGACCCGATTACATGAATATACGTACGCTAACTTCGATTTTGTTGCATAAAGTTATCGGTTCTACGTATGCACACGCATGTCCTATGCTGGATCCGCCACTGAGTTCCTAGAGCTGATGGGCTATGGATCAATCCCTCCCTTCTCTGCATTGCTAGAGAGGCTGACAGAGGATGTGCATAGATCCCGATCAAAGTATGATTAATGTTAGGTAAATTGCATCCACCTGTATTGGTTAGATTCGATTATGCATACAGTGTGAATCTCTTAGCTCGGAGGATTATGGATCATACTGCTGTGTTTGTCATAGGTCAATATGATCTGGGAATGAACTGTTTTGGGTACTATAAGTGGGGGAAAAGGGGAATGGGTGGTTCTGCGCTTGCATTAGATTGATGTTATCTTCGAAGACATTTTGTCTCCGCAGTGAGAAATATTTAGGTGGTATTGCTGAGTCTTCTGAGCACTACATATATAGGTTGCATTTGTGCAGTTTTTAGGTATACCAGTATATTTTACAGCGACATTCTATGGTAAAAGGGTTTAGGTTTAAACAATGGGTATTTCTTGTATGTGCATTGTCACCTGTGTTACCTGAATAGGCAGTACTGTTAATGAATGTGGGAGCCCTTAGGATTATAGGTATGGTGTTTTGCAACGAACACATATTACTCAATGACTGTAGCATCTCTTGTAAACGACACGGATAGTTTTTTTTGGTGGTTTCATGTTTTTTTTTTACCTGTTGTTATTTTGGCTGATGACACGATATTGCTTAAAAATTGGCATGTGATGTGCAGTGGCATAAATAAAGTGGAACTTATTCTGAGCACCCATTTTATGTTTTTCATTGCAGCTCTGTAGGTTTTTTGCACTATACTTTCTAGTGGTTCTGGCCTTCTTGACACAATGGTGAAGCTGACAATGATAGCTCGTGTCACTGATGGCCTTCCACTGGCAGAAGGGTTGGATGATGGGCGAGATCAGAAGGATGCTGATTTCTACAAGCAGCAAGCTAAACTTCTTTTCAAGAACTTGTCAAAAGGGCATCACGAAGCTTCACGGATGTCAATTGAGACAGGGCCCTACTATTTCCAGTATCCTTGTGCCATTTATGGTCCTTATATATATATATATATATATATATATATATATATATATATATATATATATATATATATATATATATATATATATATATATTCTGAACTAGGCTTGCATATTTGTATATGATTTATATATGATGCATTGATGTGCATCAAGCCATTGCACAGTTGTTTTTATATTTTTCTGATGAGTGATGACCAATATATTGTATATCAGCATAAATAGAAATGGAGGACTGACTGCATGATTCCCTGCAATGGCTTCAGAATGGCTATATTAACAAGACTATCTACACCATTTTTCTCATTAGTGGTTTATTTTATTTTCCGTTTTCATCATTCATTGCTTAATAAACATTATAAAAAGGCACCAATCAGCACTCAGCAATCATGCTTGTGGTTTAACCCCTCCTGTTCTTATCATTTTGTGATAGTCTTGTTGTGCCTTGATTCAAATGTATAGCTACATCATTGAGGGCCGAGTATGTTATCTGACTATGTGTGACCGCTCTTATCCGAAGAAACTTGCATTCCAGTACCTAGAAGATCTGAAAAATGAATTTGAGAGGGTCAATGGCAACCAAATTGAAACTGCTGCAAGGCCATATGCTTTTATCAAGTTTGGTATGGTTCCTGAGTTCACTTGACAGCATTGTTTTTGTTTATCATTTCAAATTCTACTGCTTTACAACTTATTCGTCTTCTGTTTAGATACATTCATCCAGAAGACTAAGAAACTGTATTTGGATACAAGAACTCAAAGAAACCTCAAGAAACTGAATGATGAACTCTATGAGGTGCATCAAATTATGACTTCAAATGTTCAAGAGGTTCTTGGTGTTGGTGAAAAGCTAGACCGTAAGATCTCATTCATTTTCTGCCAGCGTTTCATTATTTGCATGTTATTAAACTGCTATACTTGTTTGTGACATGAATCCAAAGATTAAATTATTAGTATAACCAAGGTGCTTTTTCTTTAAAATGGCCTTCTCTTCTTTTCCTTATAGGAAGTATATTCACCCTATTGCCTTTTTCAAGTTAGCATTCTTGAACTGCCATTTTCTGATTGTTCCCACTTGTATTTCATCTTTTCACGGCATTGCATAAGTTTGTCTGCATTAATAACAACAACTTTAATTCTATGCATTTATGCAGAGGTCAGTGAAATGTCAAGCAGGTTGACTTCTGATACAAGAATATACGCACATAAGGCAAAGGACCTCAACCGGCAGGTATCCACATGCTTAATTGCATAAAATTCATGGTTTACATTTGCCAGATGAGCTGAGTTGAATTCTCCATCAATCTAGATGGAATATCAGATCCATACAGTGCTTGTTGGATAGTAGTAGTATCGTGCTAGTCTTATTTGTAGTTTCATAACTATAGTTGGTTTTATTATAGTCTATCCTTTAAGGTAATTAAATTGTTTGGTTGCATACTGTAACTTTACTGTTGGATTAAGTTACAAGTTGTGTCCTCAGTTAGCATTGTTACCTGCGTGCTAGAACTACAAGTTTCAGAATATTTTGAATTTGAGAGCTAGAACTACAAGTTTCAGAATATTTTGAATTTGAGAGCTAGAACTACAAGTTTCATAATATTTTGAATTTGAGAACCGTGGGATTTTTTATGAATTGCATGTCCTACACGTCCAGCGTTCCCCTAACTGTTCTGACCATATCATTTTGTTGACATGCAAAATTTTCAAATACCAGGCGTTGATTCGGAAGTATGCTCCTGTCGCCATTGTCATTGGGGTAGTATTGATGCTGTTTTGGCTCAAGAACAAGATATGGTGATTGTACAATATGAAGGAAACTGGGCCCTTTTAACACCGGAGAAGAACAGATGGAGAAAAAAACCAGGTCGATTCTGGATCAAGAAGATGCTTTGGTGACTTGTATCCCGTATCTGCCCATTCAAGCGAGTACTTGAGCTGCCCTTTGCTCCTCCCTATAAGCTAGTATATTAAAAGTGAATTCATTGTAGTGCAGACCTTATAAGAAACTCAGATTTTGTGCATCCGTGGAACTCGTAAATACAAGAGATCTGTAGAGTTGACTTTACGACAGCGGGGTTGTAATTTTTCTGGTGGAACTCAATGTAAGGATTCAGGCTGATCTGATGAGTTGACTTCACTCCGGCATGCTTATTAGCTTGAGTTGATTTCACTCCGGCATGCTTATGCCCAATGTGCCCTGATTTAGTGATTTACACAAGGGCCCGTACACTGTATGGGCGGGCTCGTACAGTGTATGAGCATGAGCTACTTGCTAAAGACGTGTGTAGCAGATTGTTGGCGGTGACGTTTGTGAAAGATGAAGATTGTGAGTTGGCTGGCGGCGTCACGGATATTCTATCCTTGGATTGAGGGCATGTTGCCTTTCAGCATGACCACTGTGTGCGATTGTTGGACGATGCATGTGCTTCACCTTTCTTGCTGTTCCGTCCAGCCTCTTCTTCGAAAGAGATTGCTGACCGTGGGGAAATTTTTAGAGAGTCAGGATTATGTTGTCGTGACGAATTCAGTCACCAGTAAACACAGGGAACGCAGAGTAGGCTGATCTGCTTAGCATTTAGAATGTTTCTAGAACTAACTCCCAATCCAATTCAAATCCAATTCAGTCACTGAGCAACTTTCTGACGCTCTGTAGGTCAGAGACACTCGTGTATATACGAGCACTACAGTACATGGCGGCAAGCTAATAAGAAGAGGAATTGCGAAAGAAGCGAGAAGTAGCAGCTGGCACCACCGATCATCCAACGCCAACTCGCTTGTCCCTGCAGAAGACAATCGGAAGGGGAAAAGTAATTTGTTATTAGCCATTAATTACTGTTCCATCATTCAGATGCAAACAGGGAACGAATCGAGAAAAGGAACTGGCCAGCTACTGCTGCTCGATCATCAGAGACGGGAAGCAGTCAATCACCGCCAGCAAGCGCTCATCATCTTTTAATTCAGTAATTCCCAGCGCGTGATGAGCAAAGCAGCAGGATCGGCAGAGTTGATCCATCGAGAGCGCACGCACCTACGAGGACGAGGACGAGGAGGGAGTGCCGCCGGCGGGAGGCTGCTGCTCCTGCTCCCGATCGCGGTCCTGGTGGTGGCGGAGGTGCGCGCGGATCTCGTGGATCCGGCCTTGGGCCTCCTCGACGAGTCGGCGGCGCTTGCCGTAGGTCTGCTCGAGGCGCCGCTGCAGCTCGGCGGCGCGCGCCCGCGCCCGCTCCAGCTCCGCCAGCGCCTCGGCCAGGCGCGCCCGCGCCGCCGCCAGCTGCGCGTCGGCCGCCGCCTCCCTCCGCCGCAGCTCCGCCACCGCCGCCCACCGCGCCCGGCTCGCGTCCGCCGGCCGCCTCCCCTCGCACATCTCCCTGCGCCCCCGCCAACCGCCCTCCTCAGGTGGCCCTGCCCCGCGCAGCGGCGTCGCCTACGCCTACGGTGGCCCTGCGCTGTGGGGGCTTTCGGGATTTGGAGTTGTTGGGTGGGCGCACGCCGCACGGGCCCGTTTCTCTTCTCTTATGGACGCCCCCCCGCCGTCGTGATTTCGTGATCGCAATCATAACCGTCCTTGCCTTGCCTCCTCCCCTCTCCTCTGCTTTGCTTGATTGCGACAACCGACGAGACGACTCTCCTCGTTGACTCATGTCACTGCAAAATTGCGCTGCAGATCATCACCCAGTTCGCTTGACTATTTGGCTTATAAGCCGGCTGATGCTATTTCGTTGCGAAAGAAAAATACTATATCATAACTGATAAACATGGCTGATACGATCGAGCGAACAAGGTGCATCATGGCCCATGGGTTCCGGTTTGGGCTTGGGTTGCTGCCTACCCATGCCATCTAGTCTACCAATCGCCAGTTCGACTAGTCATACCACCAGATCGACGGCGTTAGTGGGGGTGATTGGTGAAGCATCTCCTTCGTATTGCTCGCAATTATTGGTTGATGATCCAATCTTTTCTTTTCTACCACTGGCACCCCGCACGTTCCTAATCCTAATCATGCAAATGCAACGCACACAGCCGGCCTGCACTTTGAGACCCTGCCAAACGCCAAGGATTGGACGGCTATGATTCCCGCAGAACCCGAGTCTCCGTGGCAACTGAACTCACAGCCAAGTCCTGACCAGCGAGCGCGGCCAAAGTCGTGTGCGCGTCGCCACGGGGTCGGGCACTCGGGCTGGGTGGACCGTGGCCGTGCTCTCGCGCAGAGGACTGTCAGTGTCAGTGTCTCGTCGGGAGACTTGGTCTCGGCGGCGGCACAAGCGCCGACATCTGGCGATGATACTGAAGCGTGCTTGTTCACGCAGGCTAAGAAGTCGACAGAGCGTCGTGTCGTAACATTTGGCGCCACACCGGCAGCTCCATGGATGCCGCCACCGGCCTGCTCCAGCTGCAACGCATGGCATGCGCATGCCCCCGCTCTCTTGGAGACGGAGACTACCCTCGGCCTGGCCAAGCTACTAGTATTGAGTACTGACTGCTTCTTGCTCAGCCCTGCTCCCCATCTATCTATATATACACATGCAGATGCAGGTTTCCTTGCCAGGCCTGCCGGAGCCAAGAACCAGAGCGCAAGCTAGCTAGTTAGCGGCATTCGATTCCTGAAAGCTCAAAGTCGAGTGGAAAGAGTACGCTCGCTAGGTAGCTGCCTAGCTCTGAAACACCTAATAATGGCTTCCAAGCAGATGCTCCTGCTCGCCGTCGCCGTCGCCGTCGCCGTCGCGTTCCTCCCAGCGCTCGACGCCGCCACGGAGCACTGGGTGGGCGACGACAAGGGCTGGACGCTCGGCTTCAACTACACCGCATGGGCCCAGAGCAAGCAGTTCAAGGTCGGCGACACGCTAGGTAACTAAGCACTCAGCTCAGCATGCATCCTCATCGACATCGATCATGCTTCTTGTGCCAAAAAAAAAAAACTCGTTCTCCGATACGGCGATACGAGATACCAGAGATGAGGACCTGAGTTGGTTGCCTTTGCGCATGCATAATTGCAGTGTTCAAGTACAACAAACCCAGCCACACCGTGGTGGAGGTCAGCGGCGCCGACTTCGCGGCGTGCAGCACGCCGGAGGCCGCCAAGGTGATGGCCACCGGCCGGGATCAGGTCGCGCTCGACAGCCCCGGCCGGCGGTGGTTCGTCTGCAGCGTCGGCGCGCACTGCCTCAACGGCATGAAGGTCAGGATCGACGTCCTCGCCGCTGACGACAACGCCGTGTCTCCGGTGGCTCCGCCGCCGTCCGGCCACGCGTCCAACGTCCAGGCGCGCCTCGCGCAGGCCGTGCTCGCTGTCGCGGCCCTGCTCGTGCTCTAGGCTGACTTCTTGTCTTCTTCTACGTCTACGTGAACCGGACATTCTATGTCAGATTGTCAGGTCAGAATCAGAACTGTGTTTGGGGCCGCTCCGGTCGTCGCCTGTATGGGCGAGCGCACGTATCACGTATGTGATTTCATTGTGTACTTTTCTTTCTGGAGGGAAAACTTCATGGTGTATTTAATTTGTGTCCTCCATTAATATTCTTTTAAACTATGGCAACGATGATTCGTTCGACTTACCCTATATTCGGCTTTTTCGACTTTTTTTTTTTCAGCCGGAACAATGTTTTTCTCTCACAACAATTCAGCCAGAACAATATTTTTCAGCTAGTTTCAGCCAAAATTCTGCCAGCCGAACGGGGCCTTTGGCACTGCAGCTACATGTTTAATTTCCCACTATATATGTTGGCGACGATCAGCTGCTTGATGTTGTTTACTTCTTGAGATGAGATTGTTCCATCTTGTATGTATGGTGTACCAAATGTACTTTGCAATTGTTTGCGCTGCAAGCTAAGTATAGTTCTAGTTTCAGCATTGCTAGTAACACATAATTCAGTTTGTAAAACTCGGTTGGAACTAGATGGTTTTAGTCGTGTTTCAAAATAAACAGCGCTCAAATGCCAAAACTAGTAGCTGCAGTGTCTCTGCTCCTTGCAGCAGGGAGGAGCCCTTGCCTACGAGCATGGATGCCACCTGTTTGCATGTGCTTCGTAGTTCAAAGTGATTATTGTCACGCTTAAAGTGATTTTTTTTTGGCTTGCTAGCGTCCGGACGCAGCATTCAATTTTTTCGTGCCGTTTTGCGCGCCCACGTGAGGCCCGCGTCGCCCCGAACGTCGCCAGCATCGAGAAAAGATGGAGGAGGCGGCGGATGCCCAATTGGCGCCGGGAGGAGGATGAGACACTGAGGTGAGGCAACAAAAGGCGAGGAGGAAGATGCAACGTCCGATCTACTTTCAAAAGATCCAGATGCAACACTTGTTTGCAACATACGTCTGAAGACAGATGAAACACTTAAAACATGTATCTTAAACACTTGCAAAAACACTTAACAACAATTAAAACAATTGTAAAAACATACACAACATCAAGATAAAACACTTACAAACATATGTGTGAAACATATGCAACATCATGATAAACACACTTGCAACATACGTCTTAAAAAACAGGTGAAACATTGGGAACAAAAGGTTGCAACATACGTGTGCAACCATTGCAACATATGCAACATCTCGATCTACTTTTGCAACATCCATATAAAACACTTGCAACATACCTCTGAAACACTTGAAAGAGACGCTTGCAGCATGCACTTTCAAGCGTAACATCTACTTGTTGCTTGGACGAAAATGGAGACTCGTCGGCGCAAAGCTTGACACCGGCACAGAGCTCAATGCTACGAAGTGGCGCGGCTCGGAGGTCACCGGTGTGGAGCTCTGAAAGGATCAAGATGCCTAAGAGGTGGGGTGAATTGGGCTAATTCTAAAATTCTTTGCAATAATTAAACCCTACGGTTAGCCCACTTCATCCCTTGTGCCTAGAAAGTGTTTCTATTGTTCTACCGCATAAAAGGTTAGCAACCTATGTTCCAATCCTACTCTAGCATGGCAATTCTATGAATGTAAAGACAAAAATTGAATTGCTCAAAGTATATACTTAAAGTAAAGAGAGAAGGAGGAACACGGCAATGTTTTGCTGAGGTATCGGAGAGTCACCACTCTCCACTAGTCCTCGTTGGAGCACCCGCGCAATGGTGTAGCTCCCCCTTGATCCGCGCAAGGATCAAGTGCTCTCTACGGGTTGATTCTTCGACACTCCGTCGCGGTGAATCACCCACAACCGCTCACAACTTGAGTTGGGTCATCCACAAGCTCTGCCGGATGATCACCAAGCTCCCAATCACCACCAAGCCGTCTAGGTGATGGCGATCACCAAGAGTAACAAGAATGAACTCTCACTTGACCATGACAAGCCTAATGAGAAGGGTGGATGCATATTTTGCTACTCTTGCTTTCACTAATGAGGCCTCTCTCTTGGATTCTCAAATCTCAATCACCTCACTAGGACCTTGCTCTTCTTGGCACTCTCAAGGGTGTTTCTCAGCTGTTGGAATGAGCAAAAGTGATCCCTTGAGTGAATAGAGGAAGTATTTATAACCCCTCATTCAAAACGAACCGTTATATGCCTCTACGGGGTGACCGGACGCTACGGTCAGTTCTCCCCAAAACCGAGCAGTTAAGTGGTGACCGGACGCGTCTGGTCATGAAAACCGCTCTCTGGAACCTTACTGGAGTTGACCGGACGCTGGCACCCAGCGTCCGGTCACTCACCTCTCAGCGTCCGGTCAACATTTGACCCTCCATTCACTTTCAACTCTCAATCATACGTGAATGAAGTTTGCTCCAATTGATCTAAGGGCTATTTAGTAGCTACATAGTGCTAGATTTGACAAGTGTGCACCACACCTAACCCACTAGACTCACCTAGGTCAAGCTACCCGTCCATACCCCCGTTAATAGTACGGCCAAAGGAAAAACAAAGTCCTAAACTACTCTAAGTGTCTCTTTAACTCCAAACAACACTTAGAACTAGTCCATCCTTAACCTCATCGTCCATCCTTTGAAAACCAAAATGATTTCTATCGTAGGGGCATGACAACCATTATTGCCCAATCAATTTCCATTACCGTAACCTAACTTAATTGCCTCTGCAAAACACACGTTAGTCACAGTAATCACGTATTGTTATTAATCATCGAAACCCAACTAGGGGCCTAGATGCTTTCAATCTCCCCCTTTTTGGTGATTGATGACAATACTACCTCGAGTATGTAAAAAGAGATGAGGTTTTCAACATGCTTGGTTCATATAAGCTTTTGACAATAAGAACAAAAGAGTTAGACAAGCTTATATGACCCAAGCCAACATGATGTACTCAATAGATATGAAATAAGTATGAGTACAAATAATAAAGCTCATTTGCATCAGAGTAAAATGCGGAAGCAAAACAAATGAGCATAACCAAGTGATATGACATATAAATAATTCAATGTAGAGAGCACACATGTCACATATCACGATCACGTAGATATCACTATAACATAAATATAGTTCGATGCATGAAAGTAAACACATGAATGCATAATAGTGTATCACACATAAAAAACCAAATATAATAGATAAACTCCCCCTAAATGAATCGCTCCCCCTAAATCTAACATACTCAATCCCTCTCCCCCTTTGGCGTCAAACACCAAAACCTAAGGGTCGGTCGGCGGGGCTATAGTGGACGAGTCAGGCGCTGAGGTGCGAGGAGCGAGCTGGAACAGTGTGCCATCATCATCTGATCCTGAGCTTTGAGCTGTATGACCCTCTGTAGCTGGAAGCGACGCTGAAGCGGTATGGGTCAGATCAGGGACTGGTGCGGCCTGTGACTCTATAGGTATGACTATAGGAGGCGGCTCTAATGATGCAACTGAAGAAGGGAGCATCTCTATAGTCCCAGTAATAGGTGCAACTATGGAAGGACTTGGGACATATAAATATGGCGGAGTAGGCTGTCCTATTAACTCACTAAATGTAGCACCAAGGCTCCTAGAGACTATAGTATCTAGCACAAGCAACGAGGAAGTCTGAGCCGGTGTGAAGCCCGTCTGTAGAGGTGTGAACTACGGGGCTAGCACTGGCGAGGCAAACCACTGGGACACCTGCTCTGTAGGTGAAGGAAACTATGTCACTGGTTGTCCCTGACTCTGAAGCCCACTAGGTTGTAAAGCTGGAGTCATAGAAGTGGTGGCAGGCTGGCCGATCTGGGGTGAAGGCTGTGATGGTGGAGCCCCAATAGCAGTAACTATATGCTGCATAAATCCCAGTAACTACTGCTGCATGAGAAGCTGCTGCTGATGCATGGCCTGCTGCTGCTTCTGCTGTCGCTGGAACTCATCCTGCCTAGTCTGAAACTATACAAATGTAGCAGTGGTCTCCTAGGCCTACGAGCCTGATCCTGCCTCATTCGCTCAAGTATAGCAAGTAGAGCGGGATCTATCTGTGGTGCAGGTGGAGCTAAACTGGAGCTACCAGCCTCATGGTCATGTCGTCGTGGAGGCATCTGAGGGATATCCTGGCAGTCGTCATCTGAACTATCGCTGGGGTCGCTCTCGACCATACCTTCCTGCTGAGCATGAAGCTCCTCCTCTGTAGCTGCTATGCCCATGATGGTATCATCCTGCTGGGCTGTAGTCTATGGCACCTCTGGACGATGGAGCGGCTGGCTAGGTGTCCTCACCGCACTGTGGCGGAGCATCTGAGTCATGTTATATGCAGGGAACTCTGTAGTAGCACCACTATACTCTGCCAGCATCTCAGGTGGCCTATGAATCAAAAAAGTAATCTAGTGAGCATAGGGCAACTATCGGTGATCTCTAAACCCCTCTACAATAGTATCCTCCATCTCTGATAGTAAGAGATCCCAAATATCGAACACAGTCTGCTGCATCAGGGCATTCAATAGCCATAACTGAATGCGAGTCAACCCCTCACGATATCCCATCCTCGGAAGTAGGGTCCTCCTCATGATAGCATCAAGCACTCTAGCTGTAGGAGTGAGGTCACTGGGTGTCCTACTCGACCCTTCACCGAATGGCTCTGTGAAGCAATGGCGGACCAAATCAATAGGAGGCACCATACCGCCATGAGGACGTCTGGGAGGCGCTGTCTGACCATAGCAAACCTCATGTAGCCGAACGGGTTGCTCCTGAAGCCTGAGAATCTCTCTGACCCTAAAGCTCATCAGCCTGTAGTCTCTGCCTTCGAATGCAAAGTGAATGAATCTGTGTTGTGGGTCAATCCAAAGTGTAGCATATAACTCACAGACCCATGATGATACATATATGCCTGTCTATCCAAGTAAATCTGTCAGCCTTGGTAGATAAGATAGGTAAGGGCGAATCTGCTCTCCTGCTGCTGCTACAATGGACTCAATGTTGCACACCCTCTGA